TGACAAAGATCTGTCTCATCCCACTCTTGCTGGTGACCAGCGTATCCATGAAGTCCATGGATAAACTTTCACCCGGCCTTTCCGGAATCGGAAGGGGCTTGAGCAGCCCAAGAGGAGCCTGAGTACGGGGCTTGTCTCTCTGGCATACTTGACAAGTTTCCACGTACAGCTGTGCATCTTTCATCATCGTGGGCCACCAGAACCGCTGCAGCAAGTTGGCTGCGGTCTTCTTGTACCCAAAATGGCCGGTGGCATCATGACACTCGCCTAAAAACAAACTGCACAAAGATTCGCTATTTGGAACGCACAAGCGTTTATTCCCTGCCTTCTCTAGGAACAGCAATCCATTGACCAACTCAAACTCGGCGGAGGTCTTCTTATCCTTCGCCTCAAGTCTGCGTATGATCTCAGACATAAACTGGTCCTGACGATAGGCCTCCACCAAAGACTGAGTAACATTGTCCGTCAGATCGAACTCAATAATCAGCACACCTGAGAAGTCCGGTCTGCGCGACAAGGCATCAGCAACCTTGTTGTACTCCCCTTGAGATACTGAGGGTCGAAGTCATATTGCTCAACGACTTCGATCCAACGCTTAAGAGCGTCAGAGAGTACCGGCTGTGTTCTCATCCATCTCAGGGTCTGATGATCAGTTCGGAGGATGAAGAACCGCCCAAGGAGGTAGTGTCTCCAATGGGTGAGAGCCTTGTACACCGCATAGAGTTCCTTCTCATAAGTGGATTTAGCCAACTTCTGAGACGACATTTTCTTGGACATGTACTCTACTGGCCTCAACTTTGGCCCCTCCTGCTGCGCAAGCACGGCACCAATGCCATATTGGTTGGCATCCGTTGTAACTATAAACGGCTTGCCAGGATGAGGAAGTTTCAAGACTTCATAGTGCGTCAATGCATGCTTCAGATGTCTGAAAGCAGCCTCGCACTTATCTGTCCACTCCCAAGGGGTGTCAAGGCGGGTCAGATCAGTCAAACGAGCGGCCACTATGCTGTAGTTCTTAACGAAAGTCCTATAGTACCCTGTCATTCCTAAGAAAGATCTCATCTCAGTCACAGACTGAGGACGTGGCCAATCACGAATGCTGGCCACCTTCGCGTCGCCGGGCTTCAACCCTTCCGCGAAGATCTCATGACCCAAGTACAAGATACGGGCGCGGCCAAACTCACACTTTTCACCATTGATCTTGAACTTGTGCTGTCGCAGGAGACTGAGAACTTTGTCTAAGTGTGCTACGTGCTCCTCGACAGTCTTACTAAAAATAAGTATGTCATCGAGGTACACGACGACAAACTTATCCAAGTAGTGATGGAATATCCGATTCATAGCGTGCTGAAAGGTGCCAGGAGCATTGCAAAGGCCAAAAGGCATCACCACTCGTATAGACTGTACCTGGTTTGAAATGCGGTTTTGTGTTGATCCTCGGGCCGGATTGCAATCTGATGGTACCCGGACTTTAGATCTATTTTACCGAAGTACCGACACCCTTGCACTCTATCTAACAGATCATCGATGCGCGGTAGGGGCTCTCTGTTCTTCACAGCGATGGCATTGAGGCCCCTATAGTCAATGCACATCCTTAGAGTTCACTCCTTCTTCTTAGGCACGAATAAAACTGGAGACCCACAAGGAGAGACACTCGGCCAGATCCAACCCTTCTCTACGAGTTCCTTGAGTTGGCAGCGAAGCTCATCAAGCTCGCCTGGAGACATCCGATAGATCCTACCCCTTGGAATACTAGACCYTGGGATAATCTCTATCGCGTGGACGACCTCCCTCTCAACAACCCCTGTCGGCTCTTCAAATAGATCAGGGTACTTAGCAACTACTCCCTCTATCTCTGGCGGCATTTTCACCGGCTC